GAGAGTAATCAGCCTTCTTGTGCTTTGAAGATTGTAAAAGATACTGGTGATTATGCATCTAGCATCCGTTGTCCTCTTGACCCTTACAGGACGGCAGTTTTACTCAAATAGCCATACCTCCACCTTGCAATTTATGTGACTCAATGACCACCCACCCATGTCAATTCCAATTATGGTAACCCTTTTCCCCTTCCAGAAAAGGGTTACTCCATCTTCACATTTGCTAGACAGATATTGATTGGGAAGCAGCATATGGGCCTGTGAGACCTAATTGACTCAAAAAAACTGTATGGAAAGATTATAGATGGAAAAAAAAAAAAAAGTATAGGGTCCTGATTGCTCCTGGTAGACATCTGGAAAATCACTTTAGTAGGAATTTGAAACCTACCATGTTTATAGCAGGGCAGAGAGCCTGGTAGCAATTGGGTCCTTGATAACTTGTTGAACCATTGAGTTCACCAGCCTTAAAGTCTGTTTTGCCTGTGGACCTTCTGTTATGTGAGATAATAAATTTCCTTATTTTTTAAGTAAACAGTTTGAATTGGGTTTTCTATTATCTGAGGCCAAAATGATCCCAATGGACCTGTGATATTTGGTTTCCTGGCTACAATTAAGGCAGCTACACTCAGAAGAGTGGGAAAATCACCCTATTGTCTTGGAAAAGGCAAGCAGTGGGACTCTGTTTCAAGGGTCGAAGATGAAAATCTATTTATTAACTATTGCTAGTGTGAATAGGCAGGTAAGGAAAGGGGTTGGGGCAGGGGTGAGAACATGTTTGCATGGAGCAGACCCAGAGCTGAAACTCATAATGGCCCCAGCTGCCTAGAAGAGGGCTGAATATGGGCCTGAAAGTATTGTACCCTAAAAGCTATGACCCTGAGACTTCCTTGTGAGACACATTATGATTAATGCCTTCTGTTGGAGATCCTTGTTGGCCCGTGTGGGACCTGCAACACCACAGACCTGGTAACTACAGATCGTCAAACAGCGACACCATGTGGCTGTAACGTGCATCGACTATATCGGGCAGATGAGACTCCAAGCCTTCCCTTCAGGTGTGTGGAAGTTGTATTTTCTACTAGGAATTTTTGGATCACTTAACCCGCTATGAGTTTTTGAAAATGGTAGTAAGGAAGGGACCTATTTGTAGATTCTGAATTTATTATTCTGGGAATAGAATAGTGAGGTGATTTCATTTTGTGGGGGAAAAAAGCTGTGATCATGTTTGTATATGGTGGAGCTGTTCCTACAGGTTAAAAAAGTTTTTTTTTTTTTTTTTTTTTTTTTTTTCTAATTTGAGAGAGAGTTCACGCGGGTGGGGGAAAGGGGAAGAGTGGGGGAGAGAATCTTAAGCAGGCTCTGCATGGAGCCTGACACAGGGCTCGATCCTACAATCCTGGGATCATGACCTGAGCTGAAATTAAGAATCTGATGCTCAACCGACTGGCCCTTCAGTTTTTATCTGTATTCTCAAGATGCATGAACATTAGGCCTAAAGATACCCAAACAAAAACATTTCCATTTTATTACCTCTTTGAAAACTTGTCTATGGTTTCCCATCATCCCCTGGATAAAGTCCCAGCTTTTTAGCACACCTGTCAAGGCATTCCTCCTCCCCATCTCCAGTGATGCAACATACTACTCAGTTTTGTCAGAAAGCTCTCAGTAAGTTCCATTATATTTGTAAAAGGTTTGGGAGTTAGGTTTTAAGCGAGAGCAGATATGGGCGGTCCCGAAGGGGCCCAGATTTAATGACAAATAATAATAAGGTTTACTGTGCACTTGTAACCTGAGCATTATAATAATGTGCTTTGGAGTTATTTAATATGCACAGGAAGTTTTCTCTGTCTTTCCTTTGTATTGCTGGGGAACTCCTACCATTCAGAACCATTTCTCTAGGTTTGCAGTTCTTGAGATTGGCTGCACATTGGAATCACCTGGGGAGAGACTACCGACAAACTATGGCACCTGAATCCCACCCTGGAGATTGTGATTTAAGCGGTCTGGAGCTTGAGCACCAAGTTTTCAAAGCTCCCCGGGAGATTCTAAAATGCAGCCAGCTAGGAAGACTTCAGTAACCGATTTAGGTGATGCTTCTCTTTCCCTTCTGCGCCCTACACAAAATCCTCGGATTATGCCTATCATACTGTATCTGAATTTCAGAGCATATATCCATCTCCCTAACTAAACTTTGAGCATCTCCATTCGTCCACCTCTGCATTTCTGGAGCCTGATGTAGGGCCTGACGCTTCGTGGGGATTTGAAAATGCTGAATACAAGGGTAAAATGTCATCAACAAACACGCACGGGGGTTCTCCAAATGCCAGGTGCTGCTTTGCTCAGCCAGGTCTGTAACCTGGAGAACAGGCTGACTAGTCCTGCAGCAAGAGCTCGCAGTCACGGCTTGACTGTGTGTATGGAGGACAGCGTGCCTTGGCCACCTCGCCCCGGCCTCACTTTCACCAACTGCCTTAAGTATGTATTTCTGCGGTCTCCCGGACAAATGAATTTCCAGGTGGCTGCGACCAGCACCTGCGAGGCCAGAAAATGTTCAAAGAGCAATGAAGGTGCGCAGGCGCAGACCGCAAGCGCGGCGCACTCTGGTCTACGCGAATATAAGCCCCGCCTCCAGCTGCGAAGCCAACAGGGCGCTGGGCCCGCCTAGCCTCCCCGGGTTGCGGGAGGAAACAGCTAGCGGCGTTCGGAGGCGTAGCCGAGGCCCGCCCCTCGCCGCGCTCCAGTTCGATTGGCTGGTCTCCCAAGGCGCGGTAACGGTCGCGGAGGCGGGGCCGGAGAGGGCTGAGCCGAGCCGTGCCAGGCCGGGCGCGCTGCTGGTGGGAGACCGCGGCTGAGGAAGGTGAGTGGCGTAGGGGTATCGCGGAGGCATCGGTCGGAGCCCCTCCCGAAAGCACCCCTGAAATCGGCCGCCGCTGGTGCCGCCGAGTGGCCAGACCGACCCTTGTCAGGTCCCCCCAGAAAACACACCAGTCACAAGTATACCAGTATAAGGACAAACGTGGTTCGAGCCCTGGCTCCCCGGCCCTTGCCGTCTTTGGCTGATCATTTAACGTCTCCGCGCTTCAGCTTCATTCGTAGCCTACAGCTGGTAATTCTTGCCTTACGTGGTGGTTGAGAAGGTAAAGTGAGGCACTAAGTGTAAGGCTTAGATTGATACTGGCGCGGCTATTGATACCTGGCGGATCCGGGTTGCGGATAAGTCCTAGGTAATTTACTCCATCTACACGAGTGGGCCAGGGCCGACCCGCTTCACTTGTCAGTGTCAGGTGTCTGAGAAGGGAGCAAAAGGAGAATACAAGAAGGGGTAGGTGAGTGGAACGGCTCGTTATGCTCATTCCAGATTGGGAGGACCGCTGCCTTCCTGCGGAGTCTAATTTGATTGTGTTAGGAAAATTAGGTGGAAATGTCAGAAGGCTGAGATCCGTCACCTAGGGACCGCACAGGAAGGGTTTCTACTACCACTTATTTTCTGACCATAATAATATTAAGCAGTGTGCAGGCATTACCCATATTGGTTCCAGTCTTCTATATGAGTTTGTTTTTACTTTCTGTATTGCCAAGTTCACTCCGGCCTCCCTCCCCTACCGCCCCCCCCCTCAAGGGGGGGGGCCCCCGCCCCTTGAGGAAGAGGTGGCTGACTAGGGTTTTGTCCACAGCTTCTGCCTCAAAGGCGGGAGAGGTGTGTTCTGGCCCTTTGTGTACCTTCTTCTGGGGCCGAATGATTGGGTGGAGATGACATCCAATCCCCACTCCCATTTCCTTATTTGTGGTAGATTCACTCCTTCCTAAGAAAATTAAGCAGCATGTTGGCATGTTTTTGGAGTAGAGACCAGAGACTTCGAAAGCATTGCGTGTTCCATTTATTGCAGTAATGTGAGATATTTGCTTTTGAGAAAGCTAATTACAGATTTTGACGTGACTCAATTGAGAAAGAATCATTACAGGCCATGGTTTGTTATTTACAGCTTTTCCCCCCAAAAGGGGTGAAAAACAAGTACATTGAAAAAAATTTTTTTAATGTGTATTTTTGAGAGAGAGAGAGAGAGAGAGAGAGAGAGAGAATGAACAGGGGAGGAGCAGAGAGATAGGGAGACACAGAATCAGAAGCAGGCTCCAGGCTGTCAGCACAGAGCCAGATGCAGGGCTCGAACTTCCAAACTGGGAGATCATGACCTGAGCCGAAGTTGGATGCTTAATGGACTGAGCCACCCAGGCGCCCCTGAAAACAATTGTATTTCAGTGGACAGTGCTTATTAGTGGGGCTTCAGACGTATGAAGGGTAAGTTAGCAAAGGGCTCTTGGAAACCTGGACAGTGCCAGAAGGTACAACTACGCTTTGCTTCTCTGAATTTGGCTTTTTATGCCGTGTACAAACCAACTCCTATCCTGCCTTCCCTAATCCCACAGTCTTACTTTAGGTGTGTTATGACACTGAATAAAGCTATAGCTTCTGCTTTGGCCTTGGGAAGCATTTGGTCTCTACCGGTGACTCAAGGTTCCAGGTCTATGTCCTGTCACAGCTTCTAATGGGGGAAAAGCCTGGTGCAAATATCAGCACATTATCGTGGGCCTCTGAAAAGGAGGGTTTGGTCACAGTGGAACTGAGGGGATCGTTTTTCTTCCTGACTTTGCCTTTTGTGGTTAGTGGTATTTGTCCATCTGAAAGTGCTTCATTTTAGTACGCTTGCAAATGAGAATGTTCTACCCTTGCGGCCAGAGGTCAGAATTAATGATAGGTGGTGATAGATTTGGACTCTCAGCTAAGGTGGCAGCATCGGAGTCCATCAGCTGTGGCTTCAGTCGTTCCCCCTTCAGTAGTTACCGGTACCATGGATACTTGCTTTGGGAATAACACAGGACCGTTTGTACTAGAAGGTCAAACATTTTAGGATTTTGGTTTTTTTATCTTTTTGAAATCTAGATGAAGATCCAGTTTCGGATGTGAGACTCACTGGGTGATCATTTCATTGAGATCAACTTGAACGACCAGGTGAAAAGCGCAAGAAGGACGTGCTGTGACTGAGGTATGTCTGCTGTGACAGATAACTCTGGATGTTGGGAGGCCTTGGAGAAGACCTGTTATTTATTGAATACGGTAATAGATACATTGCATATATTTCCTTTTGATCTCCTGATAATCTGGTCAGGTAGATATTTGAAACTCAGGTAAGGAAACTAAAGCCCAGAGAGGTTAAGTAACTACACTAACTCACATAGCTGGTCACCAACTCTAATCACCACCTCTGTTTTGCTATGAGCCAGGTGCTGTTCTATTTTATTTCTATATTAACTCTCCTGATCTCCATAACAACCCTATGAGCTAAGTACTTTGATTATCCTCATTGTATGAAAATGAGATTGAGGGGGGGCACCTGGCTGGCTCAGTTGGTTAAGCATCCTACTTCAGCTTAGGTCATGATCTCAAGATTTGTGAGTTAGAGCCCAGCTTCGGGCTCTGTGCTGACAGCTCAGAGCCTGGAGCCTCCTTCAGATTCTGTGTCTCCCTCTCTCTCTTCCCCTTCCCCCCTCTCAAAAATAAACATTAAAAAAAATTAAAAAAAAAAGAAAATGAGATTGAGGCACAGAGGTGTTACTGCTTTCTTGGCTGTGTGGCAGAGTCCACGGTTTGAACCCAGGTAGCCTGGCTACCGAGGTATACCAGCTTTCTTTGGTTCATGTTTTGTTGCTTTTGTTTTTATTATTAGGAAAATTCTTTTATTATAAAATGAATTTTTATTATGAAGTCAAACAGAAAAGAACACAGGCCAAATGTGTAACTTAATGAATTATTTTTTAAAGTTATTATTTATTATTTTGAGAGAGCGAGAGAGCATGCATGTGCATGAATAGGAGGGGCAGAGAGAGAGAGAGAGAGAAAGAATCCCAAGTAGGCTCTTAGCTGACAGAGCTTAGTCTCAACACGGGGCTCAGTCACATGAACTCTGAGATTATGACGTGAACCGAAATCATTAACAGACTGAGATTTCCAGGCACCCCTAAAATCCGGTAATTTTATTAGGATGTGTCTTCTGGGTCAGTATTGTCAAGTATGTGATAGACTCTTTGCATGTGTAATTTCATATGTATATATTCTTTTCATTTCAGGAAAGCTTTTTTTTTTTTTTTTAAACAGCTTTGTTGAGATATATGTGATATATAATCTGCATATATTTAAAGTGTACTATTTGAGAGGCGCCTGGGTGGCCCAGTCATTTGGCCATCTGACTCTTGATTTCGGTTTAGGTCATGATCTCATGGTTTCGTGAGATCAAGCCGCGTGTCTGGCTTCACACTGACAGTGTGGAGCCTGCTTGGGATTCTCTCTCCTCCTTTCTCTGACCCTCCACCACTAACACATGCATGTGCATGCTCTCTCTCTGTCTCTCTCTCTCAAAATAAATAAACTTCAAAAATGAAATAAAACTGTAGTCTCCCCTTCGTCATCTCCCTTTATGAAAACAAAATAAAGTGTAGTATTTGATAAGTTTTGACATACATATATACCTGTGAAACCATCACACAATTAGGATTGTGAATCTATCACCCCTAAAATTCCCTTGTTCCCCTTGGTAATCCATTTTTCTAGCCTCTCATTCCCCTAGCCACCATTGATCTACATTCTGTCAGTGTAGATTAGTTTTTGTTTCCTAGAATTTTATATAAATGGATTCAAACAGTATGTAGTCTTTATTTGTCTGGCTTCTTTCCCTCAGCATAAGTATTTTCAGGTTCATCTGTGTTGTTGCATGTATCAATAGTTTATTCCTTTTTATTGTTGAGAGATTCCATTGTATGCTTTTACCAGTTTTTGTATCCATTCAGCTATTGATCGGCATTTGAGTTGTTTCCAGTTCCTGGGTATTACAAGGACTTTTATATATAGGACTTGTGTAGTCATATGCTTTCATTTCTATTGGGTAAATGCCTAGGAATGGAACGGCTGGGTCTTAGGTGTCTATTTAACCTTTTAAGAAACTGCCAAAGTGTTATCCAAAGTAATTGTCCTAGGCGCACCTTGGGTGGCTCAGTCGGTTAAGTGTCCAGCTTCAACTCGGGTCATGATCTTAGGTTTGTGAGTTCGAGCCCCACGTCAAGACTGACCGCTCAGAGCCTGGAGCCTGCTTTGGATTCTGTGTCTCCTCTCTGTGTCTTTACCCTGCTCACGCTCTCTCTCTGTCTCAAAAATAAATAAACATTCGGGGCGCCTGGGTGGCGCAGTCGGTTAAGCGTCCGACTTCAGCCAGGTCACGATCTCGCGGTCCGTGAGTTCGAGCCCCGCGTCAGGCTCTGGGCTGATGGCTCGGAGCCTGGAGCCTGTTTCCGATTCTGTGTCTCCCTCTCTCTGTGCCCCTCCCCCGTTCATGCTCTGTCTCTCTCTGTCCCAAAAATAAATAAACATTGAAAAAAAAAATTAAAAAAAAAATTAAATTAATAAACATTAAAAATAAAAACTGATTGTCCTATTTTACATGCCCATCAGCAGTGTATCAGAGTTCCATTTCCTTCATATTCTCATGAACACTAGTATAGTTAGTCTTAGCCATTTAAATAGGTGTATTGTGGTTTCACCTTGTGGGTTTAAAAAATTTTTTTTCCAGTGTAGTTAACGTACAGTGTTACATTAGTTCCAGGTTTACAATATAGTGATTCAACAGTTACACATATTACTCAGTGCTCGTCAAGTTAAGTGTACTTTTAATCCCCTTCACCTTTTATTCTCCCCCCACCCCCCCCAACCAACCTCACCTCTGGGAACCATCTGTTTGTTCTCTACAGATAAGAGTCTGGTTTTTTTGGTTTGTCTCTTTTTTTTCCTTTGCTTGTTTATTTTGTTTCTTAAGTTCTATATACGAGTGAGTTCATATGGTATCTGTATTTCTCTGACTTATTTCACTTAGCATTATACCTACTAGGTTCATCCATGTTGTTGCAAATGGCAAGATTTTATTCACTTTTAATCGCCAACCAATATTCCATTAAATATATATAACACCTTTTCTTTATCCATTCATCTTACTTGGGCTGGTTCCATAGTTTGGCTATTGTAAATAATGCTGCTATAGACATAGGGGTGCATATATCCCTTAAAACTAGTGTTTTCGTATTCTTTGGATAAATACTCAATAGTGTGATTACTGAATCATGGGGTAGTGCGGTTTTTAATTTTCTGAGGAATCACCATACTGTCTTTCATGGTGGCTGCACCAGTTTGCATTCCCACCAAAGTGCACAAGCGTTCCTTTATCTCCGTATCCTCACCAACACTTGTTTGAGTTTTTATTTTAGCTATTCTGAGGTGTGAAGTGATGTCTCATTGTGGTTTTGATTTGCATTTCCCTGATGATGAGTGAAACTGAGCATGTTTTTATGTGTCAGTTGGCTGTCAGTATGTCATCTTTGGAGAAATGTCTGTTGGTGTCTTCTGCCCATTTTTTACTCGGATTATTTGTTTATGAGTGTTTCATAAATGCTTTATATATTTTGGACACTAACCCTTTACCAGATAGATCACCTGCAAATATCTTCTCCCATTAAGTAAGTTGGTTGTTTCCTTTGCTGTACAGAAGCTTTTTATTTTGATATAGTCCAAATAGTTTATTTTTGCTTTTGTTTCCCTTGCCTCAGGAGACCTATTTGGAAAGATATCACTATGGCCAATGTCAGAGAAATTAATGCCTGTGCTTGTCTAGGATTTTTATGGTTTCAGGTCTCACATTTAGGTCCTTTACCCTTTAATCCATTCTGAGTGTATTTTTGTGGATGGTGTAAGAAAGTGGTCTAGGTTTCACTCTTTTGCATGTACCTGTCCCATTTTTCCCACACCATTTATTGAAGACACTCCCTTTTTCACATTGCATAGCCTTGCCTTCTTTGTCAAAGATTGATTGACCATATAACTACAGGTTTATTGCTGGATTTTCTACTCTATTCCATTGATCTATGTGTTTTGTGCCAGTACTATACTGTTTTGTTGACTACAGCTTTGTAATATAACTTGAAGTATGGAATTGTGACACCTTCAGTTTTGTTTTTCTTTTTCAAGATTGCTTTGGCTATTCGGGGTCTTTTGCAGTTCCATACAAATTTTAAGATTGTTCTAGTTCTGTGAAAAGTGCTGTTGGTATTTTGATAGGGATTGCATTAAACCTGTGGATTGCCTTGGGTAGTGTAGACATTTTAACAATATTTGTTCTCCCACTCCATGAGCATGGAATATCTTTCCATTTCTTTGTGTTGTCTTCAGTGTCTTTCATCTGACAAGAGTTTTCAGGGTCAGGTCTTTCATTTGCTTAGTTAAGTTTATTTCTAGGTTTTTTATTATTTTTGATGTAATTGTAAATGGGGTTGTTTTCTTAATTTCTTTATCTGCAGCTTCATTATTAGCATATAGAAATGCAATGGATTTCTCTATAGTGATTTTTGTATCCTGCGACTACTGACTTCATCTATGAGTTCTAGTAATTTTTTGGTGGAGTCGCTAGGGTTTTCTATTGATAGTATCATATTAGCTGGAAATAGTGAAATTTTTACTTATTTGTTACCAATTTGGATGTTTTCTTATTTCTTTTTGTTGGCTGATTGCTTTGGGTAGGACTTCTCATATTATGTTGAATAAAAGTGGTGAGAGTGGACATCCTTATTCTTCCTGACTTTAGAGGAGAAGCTCTCAGTTTTTTCCCATTGAGTATGCTGTTAGCTATGGGTTTTTCATATATGGCCTTTATTATGTTGAGGAATATGTTCCCTCTAAACCTACTTTGTTGAGAGTTGTTATCATGAATGGATGTTGTACTTTGTCAAATGCTTTTTCTGCATCTATTGACCATGTGGTTTTCATCCTTTCTCTTGTTGATGTGGTATATCACATTGATTGATTTGTGAATATTGAACTACCCTTGCATCCCAGGAATAAATCTCACTTTATTTTTGTGATTTTTTTTTTTTAATGTTTGTTTGTTTATTTTTGAGAGACAGAGTAGGGGAGGGGCAGAAGGAGAGGGAGATAGAGAATCCTAAGCAGGCT